AGATCCCGTGATAAAGTTGATCAAGATAAACCAGGATTGTGTTCACCATAATGTTAATTCTAGTGTTCTTTTGTAATTGAGTTTCAGGTAATTCAATGTTTACAACATTTATGCGAGTTAATTTCATCTGACTCTTCTCAGTCTAATCAGAAAAGTTTCACTCACGTCCTCTCAGGCCTAGAGTGTTACTAACATTGACCCTCACTTACAATGGTTTGATGTTAAAGTTTTTTTCTCTCGAACTCAAACTTTAACTCCAAATCGTCAGGTTAGTTCAGCTTTTTCCTAACTGGTATTTTTCTCTCGAACAAATGACAGATACATGCTCATTCTAATGCGTGCACTCATCATATTACAAGGATAGAAAAAGCTAAAAATATAGATTATAACCACAGGTTGCCTGTCACTCGTTTTATGAAATTACAGTTAAAATTACGTCATGGATCCCACAACCCCAGTCGTGGTATTTAGCCCCTCATGGTTTCATGTAAACAATCAGAGATATTGAATGAAAACATGATATAAAAGACTTACAAAAATCAGCAAATCAACAAGTCGCTTTAATAATTCAAGAATCCGAATCCAAACTTCAAACTGATTTCACTGTTCAAACTTGAAAATCGAAAACTAAGAGTAATGGAAACTCGTTCGTCGTTCAAGCTAAGATAAGATAAAAAAGAAAAAACGACTAAATAAATTCAAATAAGTATTTTAAAACAGAGTCCTACTCGAAGTAGGACTGAAATTTAGGCAGCTTCACGGATAGCTCTACGACTCGTCAAGGGCTTCATGGTCCGTGAAGCCCACCGTGGTCTTTCCTTAGAGATTTCCCCAAAAGTGGGTCTTCAATACTTGACACTGGACAAGATACTACAAAAACATCACGGACCATCATAGGGACCACGGCCCGTGAAGTCGTCCGTGATCTTCACTTGGACTTTCCCACACTTAGGCCTGAAATGCTAGCACACTGGATCAGGACCATGATCAACACCACAAGTCGTCATGTTGACCACGGCCCGTATAGGTGCCCGTGGTTTTAACTTGGCCCCCATCACTTTGTAACTTCCATTAGCCTCTTCACTGGTTCCACACCCGACTTGCACCACAGTCCGTAGAGAAGACCACGACCCGTGAGGTTGTCCGTGGTCTTTACTTCAGTTCAGTTCAGCTTTACTGAATTGTTCTTCATTTCTTCCTTCTTTCACTTTTCATCTGTTTCACCTGTACGAAAACTACCAAACACATTATATCCACTTAAATACACTTGATTCTAGTATTAATTCTCAGTTTTCAAGGATCAAATGTGCCAAGATTTCGCGGTACATCAACACCCTCAACTTAGAACCATGACTTGTCTTGAAGTAATGAGAAAACAATACCTTCATCCGCATATTACTCAAACGGATTGCAATCACCCTTAACTTAGGCTTTTGGCCTGAGTTGTGACATCGTATCTTCGGAAAACAAATGATATGATATTACTAGGTAAGAACAAAAACTGACTTTTAGGCTTAAATCGGGTTCAAGTGGTAAGTTTTTATTTGGTAGTTTTTTTTTTTTTTACTTTTTTACTGGCTTACAAAAATGGCCTACTAATCCTTTCCTATCCAGTTATTCTCAGATTTAAGCAAGACCGCTGAGGCGAGTTCTAGTTTCTGCTCCTAGTGTTAGACTTCGAACAACACTCACACACACACGACACATGACTACATTCTCCAGTTTGTTGGTTTACCAATTTATTTATCATACTAGCAATGTTCAACATGTCAGTATCTAAGATGTCATCTAAAGATCCTAACAGTCAAATCTCAGGTCAAGGTAATCATGTCACACATATTAGCTGCTACACAGCTCAACACACCAACAAAAACAACAAAAAATAGCAATTTTCACTTAAAACACAGAATCAACATCCATTCATCCTATCAGGTTGAATGGAAAGTTATTCACCACCCCACCCCAAAAAAAGGACTTTGCCCTCAAAGTCAATAGTGAAAATTAAATAGGGCTGTGAGGAGGGGTAATACCTATGGTGCTCTAGGCGCCGATATTCAGCTCAACATCGGTACCCTTATTAACGGGTGCACTCTCAGAACTCGACACATGATCAGGTTGGCTACTACTCGCCGGGGCAGGTGCTCCGCTACCAGAAGATTCAGCTAACACTGCATCGCATTGTTGTTGTTCAAGGGCTTCTTTTTCTCTAGCTTCCTTCCTTGATGCCTTGCGGGCTTTCTTTTCTTGTTTTCTTTCTTCTCTAGACAGGTCAGCATGTATCTCCTCATCTAATTCTCCAGTTATATGTTTTCTCTTACCAAACTTACTCTTGGGTAGTTCACACCAGAGATCGACAATTGATTGAGTGGAGGGTGCCTGATTTAGCAGTTGCATTAAAGAATCTGACATTACTGGAGTGGGTACCTATATTGGCTTTTCAGCCAACTTAGCAACCTGAGTTCGTATCTCAGCTAGCTGTGATTGGAACTCTTCAGTATCTACTAAACCTGCATCCTAGAATCGATCCTGGACAAGGTTCTCCAAACCATCCATCCTGTCTTTTAAGACCGCCAGCTCCTTCCGCATCTCATCTTTAAGCTCTTTCTTCGCAGCTAATTGACATTCCATGAGTTTACGGTATTTTTAATACATTTCACTTAAGAGTTGTGTGTGTATAGGGACATTTTGTATTGGTATTAATGTATTTTATCATGTTTGCAGGAAATAAGTTCGGACCTGGAAGTTGAGATACACAACTAAAGAATGTGCAGAAAAGGGCATCTACGGACATGAACTAAGGACCGTATGTCCAGTCACGCCTCATAGATGGTAGATGTAGATGGGTAGGCAAGGCTGAGGGAAAATCAGGGAAATCTTGACCAAGTACGGAACCACGGTTGCAAACGATGGACCGTAGGTCGACCTATGGGACGTCCTGCAAGTTTGTCAAATTATTCAGAGAGGGGGTTCCAGTACTTGAGTTTGAAGATTCTAAGTATGGAGCTACGAAGGAGAATCCATGGACCGTGGATTGAACCACGGTCCGTACTGTTGATCCGTCGATTGCGTAGAGACGAAGATTTTTAAAGTTAGAAAATTTGCTTAAGTCCAGAACCACAGAAGGGACCTACGGACCGCAGGTCAATCCACGGTCCACAGGTCAATATTGTAGATAGAAACAGTGTCATGAAATATTATTTCCTTATTTCGTTTCCTTTTTAGTTGGGACTTGTTTTTCTGTATATAAGGCATGTAAACCTCATTTTAGGGGTTAGAATTTATTACCTTTGTTCTAGTTTTTGGCTTTGGAGATTAACTTATATTTTTAGCAATTCTTGATTTCCTAAGTTAGTTTTCAAGATTTTGACTTTGAAATTCAAGTTGAGATTCTAGGTTTATTCTTCTCATTACGTAAGTTCATGATTTATTCATCTAAAAATATGAATTATGTTCTTGCTACTATGGGTAACTAAATCCACAACTAGGGTTGTGGGAACCATGAGCGATTAACAAAGTATGAATAGTAACTAAGTAATTCTTGAATAGTATTTTTGCATGCATTGATAATTCTTTCGTTTGGAAGTCTTTTTAGCGGTTGCAAATGTTAGAACTCGCCTTGTTGCTAGTTGCCGGACCAAGGAGGTAGTTAATAAGAAAAGAATTATCAACATAGATTTAGTGTGATACTATCTAATAGTCTAATGTCAATTGGTGCGAAGGTGAATACCAGCCATACATCGATGTGATGTCTAATATGAGGTAAATGTAAGGGTTAGTAAATTATGCACATGTAGCTGGACAAGGTGTGGGGTGAAATTCTCTAGTTGTTGGACCAAGGAATTAGAGGTACCTAACTTACCACTTTGCATGTAATATACTAGGAAAGGATTACTATTCCTAGGATTACTGTGTTATGAGCTTATGGGGAACAGGTACACCCTAGTTTCTCTCTCATCTTGATAACAACTAAAGTATGAATATTCATCACTGATTGTTCACATAATTTCCAGAATTTGTATCACAAATCCCCCCCCCCCCTTTAAATACTTGTTTCGGAAGTACGTTGACTAAAATAATATAATTGTAAGTTAAGTTTAAGTCTAAACCATATTCCTCGTGGGATCGACCCCAATCTCCAAGTTGGGTTCTTTACTTGATAATGACCGCTTATACTTCTTTAGGGAGGTATCATTTGAGTGTATCAAATTTTGGCGCCGCTGCCGGGGAATAAGGCTTTTAGATTAAGTTTAACTATATTATTGAACTTTAGTCAAATATTTCCTAATTTTTCTTTTTATTTTGTTTTTGTTTCTCTCAAGTTCCTACTCTAGTGTATGCCAAGTACACGGAGCCAAGGTGAACCACTTACTCCTTACGATCCAGAATTGAACAGAACTTTGCGAATAATGAATAACCAAGGAGTCCCAATCAATCCTATCAGAGGAAATTTAGGTGATGGAGTTGGGGTTGTAGTCTCCGAGGGTTGGTGATGAGAATAATCAGGTTCAAGCTGAGAATCTATTGGCATATGCAATAAGGGTACAAGATGCACCACGACCAAGATTACGTGATAACTATAGGGTCATCTTTAATGCCGCTAAATCTGAAGGACCTCTTGTCCTACCCCCTCTACTTACGGGGCATACATTTGTGGTGACCAGCAGTTTGATGCAGATGCTTACAGCTAGGGGTTTGTTTGCTAGTTTGGCATCAAAGGTCCACATGCTCACATTGCCAAGCTAAGGAGTGTTTGCAAAAGTTGTGTGGGTCGACCGGACTTGGACATGGATGTCATTGGGTTGCGAGTATTGCCTCTATCATTGACTGGCGATGCTTCTGTGTGGTTTACTGAGCTTTCTTATAACTCAATCTACACATGCGAACAATTTACTGAGATATTCTTGGCAAGATACTTTCCCATGTCAAAGAAGTTGAACCACAAAGATAAACTCAACAACTTCGTAGCACTACCTGGAGAGTCTGTGAGTAGTTCTTGGGACATGTTCACTGCTTTCATAAGAGGTGTTCCGAATGACCGCATTGATGATGAATCACTGAAGGAATACTTCTACCGAGGTCAAGATGACAATAGTAAAATAGTGCTTGATACTATCACTGGAGGTTCATATGGTGAGTGGACTTTTGAGCAGATTGCAGAGAAATTAGAGAATATTTCCCAAAACAATAAAGCGTGAAGCACTAGAAAGTCAAATACTGGGAGAAACACATTTGCAGTCCAAGCTACAACTAACCAATCTACCGATGATATTCGTGAGGAGATGGCTCAGATGAGGACCAAACTTGGGTTGGTGTAGAAGCATGTAAGCAGAGATACTAAAAAGGTAAATTCTGTAAATTATTTGACTAGAAATCCACCACCGGTTGAGGAATGTTACTATGAAAAGGATACTTATGTGGTGAATGATCAGATGGGGGATTTATGAGCCAACGCCCAAGGTTCCAATACGGATAATTGGCGCCAAGGTCAAGGAAACCAAGGTCGAAACTATGGAAACTACAACATAGAGGGTCATTATGTTCGGGATGGGAACTATAATCGAGACAACAACTATAACCGAAACAACTATGGCAATAGAAATGATCGGGTTGGGCCTTTTGTCCCTCCTCAAAATCCAGAATTGGGTAATAGGGAAGTTAGAGGTAATATGTCATGTATTGAGGATATGATGCAGAAGATGATGAAGAGGTTTGATGGGACTGATGAGAATGTGAAGGAGATGCAAAATGACTTGTTTGGTATTGGTCAAAAAGTTGATGCCCATGCAGTGTCGATTAAGCATCTTGACTTACAGATGACTCAGTTGTCTACTACAATAAACCCACAACAACCTGGCACACTTCCTAGCAAAACCATACAAAATCCAAAGAATGATGGGCATTGTATGGCAGTCACTACTCGAGGGGGTAAGCAGACCATTGATCCACCTATTTCGTCTGGGGTTGAAGTTTAAGCTAGTAAAAATGATGATGTGATTGAGGTAAATGGAGAGTCCGAGAATGCGACCGAGAAGGAAGCGGAGATAACTCAGAAAGTTGTTCCCATGCCTAGACCTCCATCTCCTTTCCCACAGAGGTTAGTAAAGAAGACTGAAGAAGGCAAATACCGCAAATTTATTAGTATGTTAAAGCAGATTTCCATCAATGTGCCATTGATAGAAGCTTTGGAGAAAATGCCTGGGTATGCGAAGTTTATGAAGGACTTGGTGACTAAAAAGCGGGTCGTGAGTTTTGAGGATGATGATGAGTTGCAACATTGTAGTGCTATTGCTACAAGGTCCCTATTGCAGAAGAAGGAGGATCGTGAGGCCTTCACTATTCCTTGTACCACCGGGTTGCTACATTTTCCAAAGGCGTTAGGCGATTTGGGTGCTAGTATTAATCTGATGCCATTGGCTATTTACAAGAATTTGGGTTTAGGAGATCCAAAACCAACTGTGATGTGACTGCTTATGGCTGATAGAACTGTGAAGAAGCCCATTGGTGTGCTCCAAGATTTACTAGTGAAGGTGGAGTCTTTTATCTCTCCGGCGGATTTTGTGATACTTGATTGTGATGTTGACTTTGAGGTTCCCATTATCCTTGAAAGACCATTCCTAGCCACTGGGTGCGCCTTGGTTGATATGGAGAAAGGGCAGATGAAGTTCCGATTGAACAATGAAGAGGCATGTTTCAATATCTCTAGGTCCATGAAGCATAGTAGTGAGCTCAAATTAGTATCTATGGTGACACATATTGTAGAATGTGGTTCTGAGGTGCCTATTGAAGAGAGGTTGGGTGTTGATGCACTAGAAACGGTAATGATGAACTTTGAGGGTGATGGTATTAAAGACTATGATGGATTGGTCACCGCACTTGATAGGTTTGAATTTCGTTCAAAATCAAAGAGATTGGAGTTAGACATGAAGAATCGCGACTCTCCCCCTGCTAGACCGTTTATAGAAGAGGTTCCAAAATTGGAGGTTAAGGCTCTACCATCACATTTGAGGTATGCATTCTTGGGGAAAGATGGTACTTTATTGGTCATCATTGCGGAAGATTTGAATGTGGCATAAGTTGAGAAATTGGTTTCCGTGTTGAAGTGGTTCAAGCGAGCTATTAGGTGGACTATTACGGACATTATTGGGATTTTTCCTGGTATTTTTTCTTATAAAATTCAACTCATGCCGGATCACAAGCCTAGTAATGAGCACCAGAGAAGACTAAATCTACCTATGCAAGAGGTAGTTAAGAAGGAAATCATCAAGTGGTTGGATGCTGGAGTTATTTATCCCATTGCAGCTAGTAGTTGGGTGTGTTTGTTCAGTGTGTGCCCAAGACAGGTGGGATTACTGTTGTACCTAATGAGAGAAACGAGCTTGTTCCGATGTGGCCTGTGACTGGATGGAGAGTTTGTATGGACTACCGAAAATTGAATGCTTGGACAAAAAAGGACCACTTTCCTATGCCGTTCATGGATCAAATGTTGGACCGACTTGCGGGTAAGGGTTGGTATTGTTTCCTTGATACTTATTCGGGCTACAATCAGATTTCTATAGCTCCGAAAGACCAAGAGAAGACCACCTTCACTTGTCATTATGGGACTTCCGCATTCAAACAGATTCCATTTGGGTTGTGTAATGCTCCAGCGACCTTTCATCGTTGTATGATGTCGATATTTTTTGATATGGTGGAGGAAACTATTGAGGTATTTATGGATGATTTCTCTGTTGTAGACTCTTTTGATCGTTGTCTGGATCATTTGGTCGAGGTGCTTAAATGGTGTGAAGAGTGCAATCTTATGCTCAATTGGGAGAAGTGCCACTTCATGGTGAAAGAAGGGATAGTTCTGGGTCATCAAATCTCTTAGAAGGGTATTGAGGTTGATAGAGGGAAAGTTAAGGTAATAGAAAAGCTTCCACCACCTATCTCTGTTAAAGGTGTTAAAAGTTTTCTTGGGCATGCAGGTTTCTTTAGGAGGTTCATCAAGGATTTTTCCAAAATTGCACATCCATTGTGCAAACTGCTCGAAAAGGAGTATAAGTTTGATTTTGATGATGCGACATTTGGAGAGTTGAAGGAGAAGTTAGTTATTGCACCTATCATTATTTCACCGGATTGGGGACAACCGTTTGAGGTAATGTGTGATGCGAGTGGAGTGGTGCTTGGTGTGGTATTGAGACAGAGGCGAGAGAAGATTCTTCATCCGATTTACTATACTATCAAAGCTTTAAATGTGGCTCAAAAGAACTATACATTGACTGAACATGAGCTTCTTGCAGTGGTTTTCGCATTCGAGAAATTTTGATCATACTTGCTTGGTACTAAGGTCATTATGCATACTGACCATTCTGCATTGAGGTATTTGATGGCTAAGAATGATGAAAAACCGAGGCTGATTAGATAGGTGTTGTTGCTGTAGGAGTTCGACTTTGTGGTGAAAGATAGAAAAGGGACATAAAATAAGGTTGCCGATCACTTGTCTAGATTGGAGGAAGAACCTATGCTCAAGCTTGGTGATATGGCTGAAATTAATGATGCTCTTCCAGATGAACAGGTATTGGCTACTTCTCATGATCTGATTCCTTGGTTCGTAGACTTTGCTAACTACTTAGCAAGTGATCTGGTCCCATGAGATTTGTCTTTTCACCAAAGGAAAAAGTTTATGCATGATGTGAAGAAGTTCTTTTGGGATGAGTGTTACTTGTATCGTAGTTGTGATGATGGGATTATTCGTTGCTGTGTCCTGAGGTCGAGATGTTAAGTATACTAGAGGCGTGCCATTCATCGCCTATTGGTGGGCATCATTGTGGTATTCGGACTGCGCATAAAATCTTGCAGTGTGGGTATTACTGGTCTACCAAATACCAAGATGCTCAAGATTTCGCCAAGTCTTGTGACCGTTGCCAAAGAGAAGGAGAGGATTTCCAAGAGGCAAGAGCTTCCTATGAATCCTATATTGGTGATAGAGTTGTTCGATGTATGTGGATTTTATTTTATGGGTCCATTTGTGAGTTCACATGGGATGAAGTATATTCTTGTTGCAGTTGATTATGTGTCGAAGTGGGTGGAAGCAATTGCGCTTCCCAACAATGAAGGTAAAAGTGTCACCATATTCTTGAAAAAGAATATCTTCTCCAGATTTGGTACACCTAGGGCGATTATCAGCGATGAAGGTTCCTACTTTTGTAATAAGTTGTTTAAGGTGCTACTTGAGAAATATGGCATCCCCCACAATGTGGCCACTCCTTACCATCCACATTCTAGTGGGCTAGTTGAAGTGTCTAACAGAGAGATCAAGCAGATTTTGGCTAAGACTGTGAATGGTAATAGAACTGATTGGTCAAGGAAGCTTGATGATGCTCTATGGGCCTATAGACCGCATTCAAGACTCCCATAGGTATGTCCCCCTGCCAACTTATATATGAGAAGTCTTATCATTTTTCGGTAGAGCTAAAGCATAAAGTTATGTTGGCGTTAAAGAAGCTAAATTTGGCTTGGGGCGCCGCATCAAATCATAGAATGAGTGACTTGAATGTGCTTGATGAGTTTCGCCTAAAAGCATATGAAAGTCCAGCCTTGTACAAGGATAAGATAAAGAAGTATCATGATCAAAGGATTGGAAAATGAGAATTTGTTGTGGGTGATCTGTGCTTCTATTCAACTCTACGTTGCGCTTGTTTCCGGGAAAGCTCAAGTCCAAGTAGACTGGGCCATTCTTAGTCACGCAAGTGCTCCCACATGGAGCGGTGGAGCTTGAGAATAGTGAGGGAACAATGTTTAAGGTAAATGGGCAATGAATCAAGATCTATCTGGGAAACGCAGAAAGTGTTTAAAAAGTTATTGAGGCCTACTATCTTGTTGAAATCTGAGTAATCAAGAGGGCTGCGTCGTGCCGCGACGTTAAATCAAGTGCTACTTGGGAGGCAACCCAAGATGTACAATCTAGTCAACCATAGGTTCTTCTTTTCGGTTTAGTACTTTTCTTTGTTTATTTGCTTTTCTGTATTCCTTTAGATAGGTGCTTTATTTTTGTTTTAGTGTTGGCTAGATATATCATAGGGTCTGTGTCTAAAAAGTGTCCAAAAAATGTAAAAAGAAAGGCCAAATGGTTGCTATATGTGGAGGGGTGAAAAGCAAAAATCTTCCGAAAAGGTTTGCTCAGAGGTCTACGGACCCCATCGACGATCCGTGGTTCATTCCACGGACCGTTAATGGCGTCCGTAGATCCCAAGTAAGGCTTCTAAATTTTCCTAAGTGTAAAAATGACCTACGAACCCCATCTACGGACCGTAGGTCGATCCACAGACCGTAGACAGGTCTCGTGGGTCCAAACCCGAGTTCTTCCTGACCCGACCCGAACCTCTTTTAAATAAAAGCCCCCTTTTTCAAATCATTCCCCACTTCCCATATTTCCTCCTAACTATTTCTAAACCACTCAGAATCCTAAAATCCCCCATATTACCATCATTCCCTCATTAATCTCTCCACATTTGTCTTCCCATATTCCCAATTAACTCTCCTCTATCCCAAATTCCATAATTCCAAATTCCCCAGAGGTTTTGGTATCCGAGTTCAGTGCAAAAGCTGAGTTAGAAGTTGTTGGAAGTCTAGTCATCACACAATCACCCATTTCCTTTTCTTGAAAGGTATTCGACTTTCCCTTTACTTTGAATTCCGATTTATTGTTGTTACAGAAAGTCAGGAAGTGGCTTTTGACCTTGGGTAGTTCTTGTATGAAATTGCATGCTAAACTAAAATTAGAAACACCCTTGGGATGATATATTGTGATTGTGTTGTCTTTGTAATGTGTAAAAACAGTGTAATAAAAGTCTAAATAAAAGTTTCGACTTAGGGTTCCTAGCCTCGCATGCAATACCTGTTGAAAATTGAGTAATTGGAACCGTTGGGATGACAAATTAACATAAAATTATCTTGAAATGCATGAGCAGGCTAAGGTCCATGGTTTGAATTGATAAAAATATTTTTCGAAGTGAAGAGTATCTGATACCTTGCATAGATTGGATCCACTAGACCTCGTCTACGGATCGTAGATCAGTCTACGAACCGTAGATCAGGTCTGTGGTCTGTAGCACAAAGCAATTTCACTAAGTGTGGAACCACGGAGGTGGACTACGGTTTGTAGGTCAATATACAGACTGTTCTGCACATCCGTGGTTCCCACGAGAGCCCAATTCTTTGGGACTTCTGACCTACGGAGGGCATCCACAGACCGTAGATCAACCTATGGACCGTAGATACCAACCGTAGGTTGCCACTATCTATAATTTTTATTTTATTTTGTTCATTATTTGTTCTAATTTTTTTTTAGTGTGTCTTTAGTTCATATTGGTACTAATTCTTCCTCCACAGGAACAATGGCCCCGAAGAAGGCTATTGCCGTCAAGAGTAGATCAAAGTCAACGGCTCCTACCTGTCGGCTAATCGACGAGGATACTGATGCTGCGAAAGACCCCGAATATGTCCCCCCCACATGAAGGACATCACCCACAACACCCCGGGCTACTTGGAATCAAGACAAGAATGTGGTCCTTGATGTAGTCACTGCCTCCCAGTCTAATGAGGAGGATACATTGATCGAGTCTTCTTCCGATTCTGAGTCCGTCTCTGCTGTAGGGTCTGCTTCTGTGTCCGCCACAGGCTCGAGTTCACATGGCCAGGCTACCTCGTTTGATGAGGCTACTAGTTCGGGGGAAGTTCAAGTGCCACAAAACAACGACCCTACTCCAGTTGTTGAGGAGCCCAATAGATGGTGTGTGGAGGGCCAATGGCAAATCTACAAGGATGCCATGATGTTGAATGAAAAAGAAAAGATGGCCCAGCTAATCACAGAGGAGCGCAGAGTTCTCATAGGGAGCCTACACACTGTAACCGACATCCACCGGCCCTTTCATACCATAAGTGTGAGTGGATGGGCAAGGAACTAGGAACATATAGCAAGGAGATTGCGAGGGAGTTCTATGCTTCCTATGTAGCCAGTCTTTAAGGCTCTATTCACAAAAAATGCCAATACCAGAGCCCAGACACCACTCAAGGCTACACTAGTGCACGAGTTTTCTGTGGACATCTCTGAGAACACCATCTGCCAATTTTCTATGGCCCTAGCCCTAGCCACACTTGGGAACTCAACACGGCTGAATTTGACTACAAATGGGACATCATGCGGGGAGAGGAGTTCCAGCAGAGTACCGAGAAAAGGAAGACTGTATTACACTGTCTGGCTCGTTATATTGCTACTGACGGAGAGCGAGCCGAGTGGGTCACCACTCCTGGCTTAAGCATCAAGAAGGCCACTCTCACATTTGTGGCTATGTTTTTGTGGTTGTTGGTATGGAATTTGGTTTCTCCCACGAATGATGATAATGCACTCATTTGGGACCGCACGGTTATGGTAGCAGCATTGGTTGCGGGGTTCGAGATTGATTTTTCCTGCATTATCATTGCGGAGATTCATGAGAGGGCTTTCAAGGCCTCCACCACTTACCCATTTCCTTGCCTCAACTTTCGATTAGGCAGGGACTCTGGAGTGCCGATCTGGCATTGTGAGAAGTTGATCCGGGCAACGGGGTCCCTAGATATAGGCCAGATTCGGGATGAGGTAAATGTGGCGGCATCACGTCGAGAGCCGCAGGTGATGTACCCCTTTTGGGAGCAGATTTAGTAGATGATGTGGAGTAGATGCTTGATAATGACCCTATCCCTGAAGACTGATGATGCCCCGGCCTCCCTATCTCAGGTCGCTAGTTGGACCCCTAGCACATCCGGAGTAACCCCGCCTTTAGGAGCTGCTGTGGTGCCCTTGGCTCGTGTTTAGAAATTGGAAGCTCAGATGGCCACATTGCTTCATCATGTGAAGCCATGGATTCAGAAGTCTATTGCAGAGTCCGAGGTTAGAATCGAGCGGAGGATGGAGACCATGATGGACCAGAAGGTCCAAGCTGTTCATAAGCGCCTGGATGCCTTCGAATTGAGAGTCTGATGTTAGAATGAAGTGGAGGATGGAGACCATGATGGACCAGAAGGTCCAGGCCATTCATAAGCACCTGGATGCCTTCGAATAGAGAGTCCTCGCACGACCAACTCCTGTCACAGATCTCTCCTCTATCTTGACTGAGTTGGAAAGTGTCTGGGCCGACCTTGATGCCATCATAGCCCCTCCCACAGATGAGCCAGATTCTACACCTTTTGCATTGGCTGATAAAACTGTGCTTGATGCCATATTCAACGATGACATAACATAGTTTGAGCCCACCCGTGCTCGAGGGAAGAGGCACCGCTCTAGTAACGTTTCTGACACCACTGAAGATGCTCGAGCTAGGAAGTGGGAATGCCAGCTGAATGAGTAGGTTAGGAGAGCCTCTATTGTAGATGAGGAGTTGCGCCAGCAAAGGGCCCGTGAGAGTATTATTAGAGCCTCAATTTCTAGGCCCACCACTAAGGCCATGACTCCTGTGGGAGATGATGTTAGCACCACTGATGGTGCAGTTAGAGTGACCGATAGCACTACTGATGGTGCTGTGATAGATGATGTGGGCACTATTGAGGGTGACCCAAGTGTTGTTCTTCGGTACATTCGCGCCACAGGTTTGCTTCACCTTCACCCTACTCTTTATTGCTTATTTTTGTTCATTTGGGACAATTGCACTCTATTTTATTAGGGGTGGGGTAAATGGATTGTGAGTGATAGGGTGAAGTCTGAGTAACCCAACTTATTATCCTTTCTTGGGGTTTTCTTGTACGTGTTCTTTTTCCCCAAGCGATTGTTTAATTTATGTTGAACTGGCAAGTGTTAGGATTGTATGTGTAGAAGCATGAGAAAGAATGAAGCATGATGGCATAATTAAGAAAGAAAAATGATACCCGTCCGAAATTTGTGAAATGTGCTAAAATATGTAGGCTGCAATGAGTTGAATGTGTTGGCTCTGAGTATGACATGATAAAGAACCAACTTGGTCTCATGACTTAAGCTAAAAACTTGAACTGGGTAATCTGATAAGAAAACTATGAGCCAAGAGTGTGTGAGAATGGTTGATTCTTCAGATAGTTTTGTGCCAATCTAGAACTTACCCTGTTGTTCGTGCTAAGATAATATAGGCTAGAAGTTAGGAAGTGATTATAGGCCATTGTTCAAATTAGTCCACTTAAGCCTAAAATGATCTAACCAAATGATAGCATTATTCCCTTTTGATCCAAATATTTGAGCCTAAAATTGACCAATTCTTTTGATTTACCTAACTCACCTTCCCTTAAAAACATTGTCTTGGCCCCGGTCCCTCTTTGGACATGTGCACCTTGACTTAGGCCAAAAGTCGAAGTTGAGGGTGGCTATGCCCAAAAGTTACCTTGATCTTAGCCCTGGTCCGACATCGAACATTGTGCACCTCAACTAATGCAATATGCATAAGTTGAGGGTGGCTATGAAAAAGGAAACCGAATGGAAAAAAGGGTATGAAAAAAGTTTAGTGTTGAAAAGAGAAAAAGTATGAAAGAGGATGTGACTTTGTGTAAAAGAAGCAAAAGAAAAGTGTTGAAAGAAATAAAAGAAAAAGAATAAAGTGAAAAATAAAAAGAATAAAAAAAAGTCAAAAGTCACATCCATGTTGCAAAGAAAGAAGGGAAAGAAAGTTATATGAAAAGTTGCCAAAAATAGGTCAAGGAAGAGGTAAATAGCCAATGTAATGTCAAGGAGGGCAGAAAGTCACTAAAAAGTACCTAAATGTTCCTCACCTTCCCCCGAGCCTACGTTACAAGATAAGAAAAGTCCTATAGTGATCCTAGCAACTAGTTTGGAGAGTCTAAGCAGTGAAAATAAGGGCAAGCCTATGGTATTGAGCACTAACTGTACTTGAATTATTTCTGAGTGTGAGTGTTGAATGAATCCTTGTACTCAAAATCATATTAATTGTATGAAAAAGGGATTTCGTTTGAAGTAAGGGCACTAGTTACATTGTCGAATAGTTGGTACCTTGGTGATAGCCAAAAAAGTGTATGTTGTGTGTTGATTGGTCGATCTTTGTCATATTTTTATCCGCATGAGTTAGCTTGTTGAGTCTAAGAGAAATGATTTGCACTCAAAAAGATAGTCGGGATAGAGAGCCATGTGATTGCTTGAGCTTAAATACGTGCTTCTATACAAGTGTCGTTTAGAGTCTTAGTGCGTCGCTTGAGGACAAACAACGAATTTAAGTTGAGGGTGTTGATATACCATGAGTTTACGGTATTTTTTATACATTTCACTTAAGAGTTGTGTGTGTCTAGGACCATTTTGTATTGGTATTAATTTATTTTTATCATGTTTGCAAGAAATAAGATCGGACTGGAAGTTGAGAGATACAACTGAAGAATGTGCAGAAAAGGGCATCTGCGGACGTGAACTACGGACTGTAGGTCCAGTCATGCCCCGTAGACTGTAGACGTAGATGGGCAAGCAAGGCTGAAGGAAAATAAGGGGATTCTTGACCAAGTGTGGAACCACAACTGTAAACGATGGACCGTAGGTCGACCTATGGGCCGACCTGCAAGTCCGTCAAATGATTCAGAGAGGGGGTTCTAGTACCTGATTTTGAAGATTCTTAGTATGGAGCTACATAGGAGGATCCACGGACCGTGGATTGAACCACGATCCGTACTATTGATCCGTCGATTTCGTCAGAGAGGAATATTTTTGAAGTTGGAAAATTTGCCTAAGTCCTAAACCACGGAAGGGACCTACGGACCGTAGGTCATCCATAGTCCGTAGGTCAGTATCGTAGATCAAAATCGCGTCTTGAAACATTATTTCCTTATTTCGTTTTCTTTTTAGTTGGGACTTGTTTTTTTATATATATAGGGCATGTAAACCTCGTTTTTAGGGGTTAGACTTTATTACTTTTGTTCTAGTTTTTGGCTTTGGAGATTAACTTGCAGTTTTAGTAATTCTTGATTTCCTAAGTTCGTTTTGAAGATTTTGACTTTAAAATTCAAGTTGAGATTCTTGGTTTATTCCTCTCATTACGTAAGTTCATGATTTCTTCATCTAAAAATATGAATTGTGTTCTTGCTACTATGGGTAACTAAATCCACAACTAGGGTTGTGGGAACTATGGGCGATTAACAAAGTATGAATAGTAACTAAGTAATTCTTGAATAGTGTTATTGCATGTATTGATAATTCTTTCGTTTAAAAATCTTTTTAGCGGTTGCAAACAATAGAACTTTCCTTGTTGCTACTTGCCAGACCAAGGAGGTAGTTAATAAGAAAAGAATTATCAACATATATTTAGTGTGATACTATCTAATAGTCTAATGTCAATTGGTGCGAGGGTGAAAACTAAGCCATACATCGATGTGATGTCTAATATGAGGTAAAGGTAAGGGTTAGTAAATTATACACACATAGCCGGACCAAGGTACGGGGTGAAATTCTCTAGTTGCCGGACCAAGGAATTAAAGATACCTAACATATCACTTTGCATGTAATACACTAGGAAATGATTACTATTACTAGGATTACCGTGTTTTGAGCTTATGGGGAACACGTACACCCTAGTTTCTCTCTCATCTTGATAACAACTAAAGTTTGAATCTTACTCACTGATTGTTCACATAATTTCCAGAATTTGTTTCACAAATCTTTCCCCCTTTAATTACTTGTTTTGGAAGTACGTTGACTAAAAGAATATAATTGTAAGTTAAGTTTAAGTCTAAACCATATTCCTCGTGGGATCGACCCCAACCTCCAAGTTGGGTTCTTTACTTGATAATGATCGCTTATACTTCTTTAAGGAGGTGTAATTTGAGCGTATCACTAACACATCTCTCTGTATCAGCTGAGGCATCCTGTTGAGTATCTAGTCGACCAAGGTCCTAGTTTGGCGCTGATCTACAACCAATTTCTCAAGAAATAGCATAGGGATAACGACAAAGGTACCTGGAGCCTCGGAGCCTGAAGCTGGAGGTGGTGGTGCCTCTGTGGAAGGCTGTGATGGATCTCCCTGCTTTAGACCTTTATCTACATGTGGGATGTCAATTAGTATGTGAGGGACAACAACTAAGGTACCTACAACTGCAGATTTCACATCAAAGAGATGGTTCCTGACATCTTTAATCTTAGAAACTTGGATGAGTCTGAATGCTTCACCCCATCTATCAACTAGGTTATTTGGAGGAATGCTCTCTTGTCAATATAATTTCCCTATCAGACAGGGGAATGGAAGTCCGGCTCTCTCATTCAGTGCCCGATGTTTGTGTAATCAAGATACAACTTCCAATGCAAGTGTCTACGATCGTACAATAGTAAAGTAACCCAACCAAGCGTTGGGGTCGAGTCCCAAAGGAGTGGTTTTTGAAAATTTGTGATTAAGTGCAAAAGTGCTAAGGCTAACCGTAGCTAAAAACTTTATCGAATGAAGACATAACAAATTAAAGGATTTGACATGAGTATCAATTATCAATGGGGGGGGAGGGGGGGGTTTGTAAACAAGTAAAGAGCAAAATCAACAATAATGAAGAGAGATACGAATATGGAGATGGGATTCTTGGGATGTGATAGGAATATAGGTTAGATTAGATTATTGGGGACATGCTTTTGATAGTAAATCTGTTGAGTATTTGTGACTAGGCTAGACTATAGTGGGGGTAAATTCTCTCTCGAGCAACTTACCCCGAATCAAATAGGTTCCTCTCGGACACCCACTTGACGCATGAAGAACAGCCTCCGCCTTAGCCCACTCACTCTCTCAACCTGAGTGTGTGGGAGAAGGACTAAGGTTCACTCTCTCGAGCTGAACCTCATGTCGACCCACTCCCACCGGCCATCAATTTAGTAGTCTTAGTTTTACGACCTCTCTCTCGAGCAACTAGAAAACATAAAGGTGAAATTGCATCTGCAACTATAATTTCATTAAATTCCACCACAACTACTAAACGAAATCACATTTACTCAACAAATAAACCATCAACAAGCAAGACCCAACAGATAATCTAACCCATATTCACAAAATCACACCCCAAGAATTGGGGTTTTAGACTCGTGCAAAGGAGGTAAAAATGTCTACCAATCTCAGTTTCCATCAATGGGTATGCTAGATTAAGTCTTAAGACAAGTCAAAAGTGAAGAATTCACAAGACCCAAGTCCAAAATTTTGTAGTTGAAACCCTTTAAATCTTCAAGTTCTTCAAAACCCTCTCCAAACTTAGAGAGAATAATGTCTCCCAAAATTGTATTCTAACCATAATACAATTAAAAATTCACTACAAAGAATAAAAATTGAACTAGTATTTATAACTTTCAGAAAATGTGCTGCGAAGGATCACTCAGTAAAGTTAGTCCGGATCGCCGATCAACTCGGTGATCCGCCTTTTGGTAGGTTTCATCACCGTCTTGCTCTATCCTTCAGCATCATCGTGTTTTGGATCCTTGGGCGATATAGTACTGCTTTACGGAACTGCTCGGTGACACGCTGATGAGTCCACAAAGTGGACTCATTTGGGGCTATATTTTAATAGAAATTGTGTCCTTGAATGCTTATTTTATCTCAATATCTAATAAAAACCTTTAATTTTCAGGTATTTGAATTTTTAGTGGAAGCATGGACACTACATGGCAAAAAGGAATGAAAAGACTGAAAAGAACGAAGAAACGAAAGCCTAAGGATCGCTGAGTCCATTTGGTGAATCGTCGAAGGGTCTTACTTAGCCTTTTGTTCCAGTGTGCTGAGCCCTGAAGGAAAGGATCAAGTTGGCGGAGAAAAGGAGGAGTCGGCGTATCACCGAATAATTCCACGAAGCAGTACTATGTCACCCAATGACACAGAGCACGACGATGCTAAAGGTTGGTGCAAGATGGCGACGAACTACACCAAAGGGCTAATCGCATCGGTGATTTCGACTAATGGTGCCGAATGGTCCGCTGCAGCACAAATCTGTAATAACTATAAATACTAGTTAGAGTTGTAGTTTTGGAGAGTCGAACATTTATTATATTTTTTCCAGATAGAATAGTACTTTTTGCTCTAAGTGAGAGGGTTTTGAAGACTTGAAGGAGAAAAGGGTTTTCATCTTCAAGATTTGGAGTTGGGTCTCTTGGATTCTTCATTCTTGGCCTGTAACAAGACTTAAATCTTCATAACTATTTGAATTTAAACTCATTTAGGTTTAAATTTCTATCTCTTGATGTGTGGCTAAAAACCCCAATTATTGGGGTGTGATCTAGCGAATATGGGTTAAGATATTTGTTGGGTCTTGCTTACTGATAGTTTATTTGTGATTTCATTTAGTGGTTGTGTATGAATCTAATGAATTTGTTGTTGCAAATACAAGTTTATTTATGTGTTTTCGGCTTGCTCGAGAGAGAGGTCGCGAAACTAAGACCACTAAATTGATGGCCTAAGGAGTAGGTCGACATGAGGTTCTGCCCGAGAGGGTGAGCCCTAGTCCCATATCCTAACACTCATCTCGAGAGAGTGAGTGGGGTAAGGCGTAGGCTGCCCTTCATGCGGCAAGTGGGTGTCCGAGAGGAACCCATTTGAAACGGGGTAAGTTGCTCGAGAGAGAACTTATTTCCACATAAATCTTAGCCTAGTCACTATTACTCTATAGCTCTTCTATCGAAGGTATGTACCCAATAATTTAGATTAACCCGTATTCCGGTCACATCCTAAGAATCCCTTTCTCATTGTTTAGATTCCCTTGTTAATATGTTCTTTTTATTTATTTGTGACAAAACCCCCCATTTGATATTTGACATTTTGTGTCACCCCCTTTAATTTACAATGTGTTTAATCGTTAATGTCTTTAGCTACGACTAGTTATAACTAGATTTTATTTTTCTATAAATTCTCAAAACCACTCTCTTGGGACGATCCCAACCCTTGGTTGGGTTACTAAACTATCGACAATTGTATATACTTGAATTGGAAGTTGTGTCATTGATTATGTAAAACATCAAAATGGCGCCGCTGCCGGGGACTAGTGTTATTTGAGAATTTTTAGATTAATAGAATTCTTGTTCTTCTTAGTTGTAGTCCAACTTACCTAATTTTCAGTTTTGTTTTGAGTATTTGTGTGCCATCACAGGACATATGAGTGCAAACGGGGAGAATAGCTGCCAAGCGGGCCACTCAACGGGTGGTGTTTTTCATCGAGACAACATTGATGATGCTAATAGTGTTTATAACTCTTCCAACGTGGTCAAGATGGGTGAAATTTGCTTCCCACAAGTTGACGGAAATGTAATGTTCGAGGTACCAGCGCAACACTCCAACTTATACATTCAAGAGGTTTATTTGGAGAGTTAGAGCATGAAGATCCGCACGAACATGTACGAAGCTTTGTGGAAGTGTGCACCCCTTTATCATTCAAGAACCTATCTTAAGAATCCATACGATTTCACTTATTTCCATTATCATTGACTGGGGGAGCTACTAAATGTTGGTTGAGCATCCCAACAACTCCATTAAATCATGGGAGGAGCTGGTTATGGCATTTCACGAAAGATTTTTTCCTCCATCGAGAATGATGAAGTTGATAGATGATATTCAAAATTTCAAGCAAAAGGAGGGTGAACCAATTCACGAGTAATGGACAAGGTTCAAGAAATTTTTGCGTAAGTGCCCAATGCATGGACTGCCAGGTGAATTGCTGCTCCAGTACTTTTACCGTAGTCTGGACTGGGTTAATAAAGGGATAGCTGATCAATTGGTGCAAGGAGGAATACTGTTACAATCAGTTGAAGTAGCCTCATTTCTCCTAGATGGTATGACTAAAGTAAACCAGGCATGGTATACCAAAAATGATCAAGTTTCCCCACTATGCTTCCAGTTAATGCAAGAACAGATCGAAAAAGAAAGGGAAAGGGACGAAAACATCAAAAAGATGTTATCTGAAATGGAAATCCTACAAGAACATATGCAAGGGACACATGGAGTATTTTGAGTTGAGGAGGGTTCTTCTACCGGTTACTCAAGATCGGGGGAGAATCAAGGTTGGAACTCTATAAGATACGAGGTGGGTTTCCACTCACGCTATCAACCGCGGGGTGCGAATCAAGGTTGGAACTATTATAGTGGTGAAGAACAAAGGAGATGTTGGCAAGATGGGGCTGAGCAGGATGATCAGGAGGAGGACCATACTCACTTGAGTAAAAGCCCGAAATCTAAAAGGTGTGCAAGTAGTCCTCGGGTAAATGATTTGTTATCGCGTATACTTGATAAAGTCGAGGGCTCTGATGATTTTCTTAAAGGGATTAAATATGACTTTTCATCATTGAATAGTAAAGTGAATTCTCATGTTGATGCCATCAAAATACTGGAAGGTAAATTGAGTCTATTATCATCTCAATTAACATCTAAAACACCAATGGACTAAATTGAAAGAGAGCTGGTTGTAGTTACCCGTAGCGGTAAAGTGGCAATAGGGAATGTTATGGAAGATGAGGATCCTCAAAAACATGAAGATCTAAGGTGTGGAGTAGCAAGATTTACCTATTCGAGAAAACCTCACTAAAGAACCATAGGAGGAAGCAGAGCAACAAGTTCAAGTTCCAAAAGTCACACACCTTTTACCCAAGATACCTCCACCATTTCCCCAACGTTTGAAAAAGAAGAATGAAGATGAGAAGTTCAAAAAAAATTTGTCAGTATTCAAGAACTTATCAATTAACCTTCCTCTAGTACAAGCATTGTTGGAAATGCCGAGATACATCAAATTCATGAAAGAACTAGTTACAAAGAAAATGAGCTTGGACTATGAAACGATTGAGGTGCCCCATAGTTGCAGTGCAATTATGACAAATGATTCAATCACTAAGAGAAAAGATCCTGGGGAATTCACAATCCCGTGCACATTTGGCATGATCCAATTCGCTAGAGCCTTCTGCGATTTAGGAGTAAGCATCAACTTGATGCCCTATGAAATATACAAGAAACTTGGTTTGGGTGAACCAAAGGCAACCAAATTGATACTCCTTATGGCTGATCTATCAATCAAGCGCCCAGTGGGGATACTCTATGACATATTGGTAAAAGTGGATCGGTTCATCTTTTTGGCTGATTTTGTGATTCTAGATTGTGAGATCGATGCTGAAATCCCCATTATAATGGGAAGGCCATTCTTAGCTATCGGGAGAGCATTGGTGGATGTTGAAAGCAGTAAATTGAATTTCCGTGTGAACGATGATGAGGTAACCTTCAATATCTATAAATATATGAAGCAACCAAGTAATATCCATGTGGTATCTACTAAGAATGTGATAGATGAGGTAGTGGCAAATGTGAGTCATTTAATGCGTAAGAATGAACCCCTTGAATCTGTACTTGCCAATTATGATGAATCCGCAGTTCAGGGTTACGAGGAAGTGGTAGCTGCTTTATCAGGATTAAGAGCATACTCAAGAAATCCAATCAAGTTGGATATCGACCTGAAAAATAGAGAAAGTCCTCCTGCAAAGCCATCAACAGAAGAACCACCAAATCTGGAGTTAAAAGCCCCACCCTCTCATCTCAAATATGCTTTCTTAGTAGCAAATAATACTCTACCAGTGATTATCGTAGCAGATTTGCTTGAAAGTCAGGTGCAATTGCTCATTGAAGTACTGCGGAAGCATATAAAATCTATTAGACGGACAATCGCCGATATAGTAGGAATTTCTTCGGGCATCTGTATTCACAAGATTCGGCTCGACAATGAATGTAAACCTAGTGTGGAACATCAACAGAGATTGAACCCTCCAATGCAAGAAGTAGTGAAAAAGGAGATCATTAAGTTGCTAGATGCGGGAGTAATCTACCCTATTGCAGATAGTAAGTGGGTAAGTCCGGTGCAATGTGTACCGAAAAAGGGAGGTATAACCGTAGTCCCAAATACAAAAGGAGAACTTGTGCCTACAAGACAAGTGACTGGGTGGAGAGTATGCATGGACTATCGAAAGCTCAACTCATGGACTGAGAAATACCATTTTCTAATGCCTTTTATGGATCAGATGTTTGATCGGTTATTAGAAAGAGGGTGTATTGTTTTTTGGATGGGTACTCTAGTTAAAATCAAATCTCTATTGCTTCGAAAGACCAAGAAAAGACCACTTTTACTTGCCCTTATGGAAAATTTGCATTAAAAAGGATGCCATTCGGGCTATGGAATGCCCCAGCAATATTTCAGCGTTGCATGTTGTCTAGTTTTGCAGATATGGTCAAAGACTCTATGGAGGTATTCATGGACGACTTCTCAGTCATAGGAGATACACTTGAAGAATGCTTGACACACTTAGGGAAAGTCCTCCAAAGATGCGTGGAAACGAATTTGGTTCTTAATTGGGAGAAATGCCACTTTATGGTGAAGGAAGGTATCATTCTTGGGTACAAGGTGTCGCAAAAGGGGATGGAAGTTGACAAGGAAAAAATTGAGGTCATTGAGAAATCACCCCCGCCGATTTCAGTGAAGGGTGTTCACAGCTTCTTGGGGGAATGCAGGGTTTTACAGAAGGTTCATTAAAGACTTCTCAAAGATTGCACTCCTATTATGCAAACTCTTAGAGAAGGAAGTGAAATTCAATTTTAATGATGCTTGTATGGCTGCATTTCATTGTTTGAAAGAAAAACTAGTATCCACCCCAATTATCATCAGCCTTAATTGGTCCGAATCTTTTGAATTAATGTGTGATGCTAGCAGGATGGCATTGGGGTTGTGTTGGGACAAAAGCGAAACAAACTATTCCACCCAATTAATTACACAAGTAAGACTCTAAATAGTGCCCAGCAAAATTATACGGTCACTGAACAAGAGTTGCTTGCATTAGTCTATGCATTTGAAAAGTTCCAGGCATACTTGCAAGGCACCAAAGTAATTGTGTATATTGATCATGCTGCACTCCGTTACTTGATTGGAAAGAAGAATGTAAAACCACGCTTGATAAGGTGGGTACTGCTATTACAAGAATTTGATTTTTAGGTAAAAGATCGAAAAGGATGCGAAAATCAAGTGGCTGATCATTCATCAAGGTTGGAAGCAAGGGAAAATGTTGAGCATGAAGTCGACATAGACGACTCCTTCCCAGATGAACAGTTTTTTGCAATATCTCTCAAACATACGTCGTGGTATGCAAATTTGCAAATTACATTATGTGTGGGCTGATGCCGATGAGTTGACCTTCTACCAACAGAAGAGGTTCCTGTTCGATGTTAAAAAGTACTTTTGGGATAAACCATACTTGTTCCGAGAGTGAGCTGACCATGTCATTAGAAGGTGTGTTCCGGAAGAAGAAGCAGTAGACATTCTCCATGCTTGTCATACATCTCAAGTGGGAGGTCACCATGGTGGCATTCACACCGCCGCTAAAGTTCTCCAAAGTGGATACTACTGGCCGTCCCTGTACAAAGATGCACATGAATTTGTGAAGAAATGCTCTAAATGTCAGCAGCAAGGCAGAGTATCTAGAAGATACGAATTACCTCTCACGCTTATCTTAGAAGTCGAGTTATTCGATGTATGGGGTATCGATTTCATGGGTCCTTTTGTGAGCTCATTTGGAAATAAATACATCTTGGTGGCTGCATATTATGTTTCCAAATGGGTGGAAGCCATCGCACTTCCAAACAACAAAGGAAAAACGTTGTCCAATTTCTGAAATGCTACATCTTCGCAAGATTTGGCACTCAGAGAGCAATCATTAGCGATGGGGGATCCCACTTTTGCAATAAGTGGTTTTTAATGGCACTGAGCAAATATGGGGTGAAACACAAAGTAGTAACCCCATATCATCCATAAACAAGTGGCCAAGTAGAAGTGTCAAATCGAGAAATCAAAATCATCTTGGCAAAGATAGTAAATGTCAACAGAATTGACTGGTCTAGGAAACTCGATGATGCACTATGGCATATCAAATTGCTTACAAAACACCTATTGGGATGTCTCCATATCAGTTGGTTTATGGTAAGGCTTGTCCTTTGCCCGTCGAGTTAGAACACAAAGCATTGTAGACATTGAAAGCTTTAAATTTGGACTGGTAAAAAACTTTAAGGGAGATAGTAGATCAACTGAACGAACTGGATGAATTTAGACTCAGATCATATGAAAGTTCAACCATCTATAAAGAGAAGATGAAGAAATGGTATGATGCTCGGATACTCAGGCGGGAATTCAAGGTAGGCGATTGGGTTTTGCTATACAACTCCCGACTTAGACTTTTCCCCAGAAAGCTCAAATCCCAATGGTCTGGACCGTTTAGAGTAACGCGAGTGTTCATCAATGGTGCCATAGAAGTTGAAGATCAAGAAAGACCTCCATTTAAAGTAAATGGTCAACGTCTGAAATTATATCTTGGGAATTGTCAAGAGATTTTATTGGTTGAAGTAGTGTATCTGGAAGACGCCTAAAGACGCTGCTGCATCGTGCCGTGACGTTAACTAAGGCATTTCTTGGGAGGCAACCCAAAACACCTTTAATTGCTTCTTATTTCTTGGTGAAATAATAGTGTGTTGTTTGTACAGGTTGAAGTATGAGACATGTTCGAAAAAGTGAAGGATGGAAAACAAAAGATCTAGTTGGTGAATCGCCGAAGGCGTTAGCGAATCCAACCTTGTCCACCATTTGACTCACAACATCATCAACGTTGGAGTCTGTAAAACTCGGTGAACTTTGGAAATTATTGGTGAATCGCTGACCATGTTGGCGATCAAGATGGAAATCGCCGTTTGGACCCCCCGTAAACTAGTGGCACTGTGAATTTCGGCGAAAGAAGTTAAACAATTGGCGTTCCACCTAGTGAGTAGGCAAACCTGACTAATATCGCCAAGTGGGCAAAAACAGGACAGTTTTTACAAGCCAAAGGTTTAAAAGTTTCAACTTTGTTCACTTTCCCTCACTTTTTATCTATCCAAAATCACGCCTGCACTCCGGTTTCTATATGTATTGCACTGATTAAGCATTATAGTTGTTGAATTGTGCTTGGACTTGGATTGCATAGCCGCTTAGCATTTCAATCCTCCCTTTTGCAACACAAAAACGTTATGCATGTCCTTCTGGAAGACACTCTTGGCACTGATGCCCAGACTGATGGAGCGACTATGTAGACATGATCCCCTCTTTACCTCCCTCTCTGTCTTTCGTTATCTTTCATTTTATTTGCATTTGAGGACAAATCCTTTTATTTGTGGTGGGGTGAGGCCCACACCTTTTGTGCTGATACTTGTGTTTTGTGTATATATTTGGGTTGTTCTGTTTTAAATTTTGGTAAATGCTGCTTTTCTGTGGATGTTTGATCTTGAGGCTCCGCTTACTTTTAATTGCAAAATGATTTTGACCCTTCCGAAAAAATTCATTTTTGAATTTTTGCACATTTTTGCCACCCCTTGTGAGTTGAATGTGGTTGTTATTTTGCAAAAAAATATGTCTCGGTTTCAATCAATACCGATGACTTAAATAGTTCTCTCAATCGAACAAAATGAATGCGCGGCTACGAGTGGCTAAATGAAGTTGCATAAACAATATGTGAACTCTTTGCATCTCGTTGTGATTAGCCATTTATCAAATTCATTCTCTTGTAATGACCGTTGCACACTATCAAAAGTGTGTAGTCTTGTTTGACTTAAGTGTTGATACCTTGTGTGATTAGCTTGCTTTGAACCATGCATGAATAAACCTAGAATTTTCCCTGTTAGTCTGATTGATTTAGAAAGGTATGCTCTTGAGATGATCTTAAGAAACTTTAAAGAGTGTGAGCCAAATTTGACGTATACCTCTTTTGTGGCCTACCCGTGAGCGTGTGAAACTCTTTGAACACCCTTTGAGCCTTACCTTTTATGGAAGAACCTTGATGAACCCTAGACCTTACTTGACCCACTACCTACAATCCTCTTGATTTGAGGTTTAACAAATAGCCAACTTAGGCCAAAGGCCTAAGTTGGGGGTGTGGTGAAAAGGAAAAGAAGAAGCCAAGAAGTGCAGGAAAAGTCTCCCTTAACCCATGGTGTTGCATAATAATGGAACCCCTTAAAAAATAAAAATTGTGTGGAATAAAGTACAAAAGAAATCGGGTTTCCAAACAATCCATGGAGGTGACTAAAAGGATGACTTAGAAGCACTAGAAGAAAAAGTGATTAGGGAACGGAAAAGGACGTTTTAAGAACACCACATCTCAGGAGGATGAAGAAGTCACTAAGCCTAAATGACCATACCTTTGCACTCAACCCCTTTACAAGCCTTGAAAATACCTTTCTGATCTTGAGTAAGCCGAATCGAAAGTCGGCTGGAAAATAAGGCAAACCTATGGGTGAAAACATGCATTATGTTCCTCTTTTTTAGTGTGAGCATTGCATTTGATTCCTTATCTTAAATTGATCAACTCATGTGTGTGAATATGGAATATCTTTGTGTGAGGGCATTTAGATACTTTTGTTGAGCTTGAACTTGCATTAGTAGCAAGTATTGCGAGCATGAGAATCTTTGATATTGGTGTGTCACAACTTCAATCTTTGGGTACACATTTGATCTTTGCATAAGTAGATTGAGTCTTGTTGTGTGCATTCATGATTGAGTCTTGTGTAGCACTGTTTGAGACACCCTTTTTGAACGGCTGAACTTGAGTTTGCTTGAGGACAAGCAAAAGTTTAAGTTGGGGTGTTGATGAGTCCACAAATTGGACTCATCTGGGGTTATATTTTAATAGAAATTGTGTCCTCGAATGCTTATTTTATCTCAATATTTGATAAAAACCTTTAAGTTTAAGGTATTTGAAGTTTTAGTGGAAGCATGGACACTACGTCGCTAAAAGGAACGAAAAGGCTAAAAAGAACGAAGAAACGAAATCCTGAGGATCGCCGAGTCCACTTGGCGAATCGCCGAAGGGTCTTACTTCGCCTTTTGTTCCAGTGTGCTAAGCCCTGATGGAAAGGATCAAGTCGGCGAAGAAAGGGAGCAGTTGGCGTATCGCCGAATAGTTCCGCGAAGCAGTACTATGTCGCCCAATGACACAGAGCACGACGATGCTGAAGGTTGGTTCAAGACAGGGACGAACTACACCAAAGGGCGAATCGCTGAATCGATCGATGATTTTGACTAATAGCGCCAAATGATCCTCTGCAGCACAAATCTGTAATAACTATAAATACTAGTTAGAGTTGTAGTTTTGGAGAGTCGAACATTTATTATATTTTCCAGATAGAATAGTACTTTTTGCTCTAAGTGAGAGGGTTTTGGAGAGACTTCCTTCCCTTTTAATTGAGAGAAGGACTCAGAATTGACTCCCTAAAGAGAAGAGGGTTTTCATCTTCAAGATATGGAGTTGGGTCTCTTGGATTCTTCATTCTTGGCCTGTAACAAGACTTAAATCTTCATACCCATTTGAATACAAACTCATTTAGGTATAAATTTTTATATCTTGATGTGTGGCTAAAAACCCCAATTCTTGGGATGTGATTTAGCGAATATGGGTTAAGATATTTGTTGGGTTCTTGCTTGCTGATAGCTTATTTGTAGTGTAATTGTGATTTCGTTTAGTGGTTGTGTATGAATGTAATGAATTTGTAGGTGCAAATACAAGTTTATTTATGTGTTTTCAGCTTGCTCAAGAGAGAGGTCGCGAAACTAAGACCACTAAATTGATGGCCTAAGGAGTGGGTCGACATGAGGTTCAACCCAAGAGGGTGATCCCTAGTCCCATATCCTAACACTCAGCTCGAGAGAGTGAGTGGGGTAGGGCGTAGGCTGGCCTTCATGCGGCAAGTGGATGTCTGAGAGGAACTTACCCATTTGAAACGGGGTAAGTTGCTCGAGAGAGAACTTATTTTCACATAAAGCTTAGCCTAGTCACTAGTGCTCTATAACTTTTCTATCGAAGGCATGTACCCAATAATTTAGATTAACCCGTATTCCGGTCATATCCCAAGAATCCCCCTCTCATTTTTTAGATTCCTTTGTTAATTTGCTATTTTTATTTATTTGTGACAAAACCCTCATTTGATATTTGACACTTTGTGTCACCCCCTTTAATTTACAATGTATTAGTTAATGTCTTTAGTTATGACTAGTTAGAACTAGATTTTATTTTTCTATAAATTCTCAAAATCACTCTTTTGGGACGATCCCAACCCTTGGTTGGGTTACTATATTATCTACGATCGTAGACACTTGAATTGGAAGTTGTGTCGTTGATAACGCAAAACATCACACACCAACTGCTCCTTTTCATAGCCGATTTGATCCTTTCTTTTAGGGCTCAGCACATTGGAGCAAAAGGAGAGGATAAGACGCTTTTGGCCATTCGCCGAATGGGTTCGACGATTCTCAAATCTTCATTCTTCGTTCTTTCAGCTGCCTTTGTTCCTTTTTGCTAAATAGTGTCTATGCTTTCCCTCAAATTCCAAATACCTGAAAGTTAAGGGTTTTCATCAGATATTGAGACCAAATATGCATTTGAGGACACTAATTCTATCAAACAAACCCCTAAATGAGCCCAATTTGTGGACTTATCAACACCCCCAACTTAAACTTTTGCTTGTCCTCAAGCAAACTCAAGTTCAGACATTCGAAAAGGGTGACTCGAATAGTTCTACACAAGAATCAATCATGAATGCACACAACAAGGCTCAATTTACTTATGCAAAAATCAAATGTGCACTCAAAGATTCAAGTTGTGACTCACCAATATCGAAGACTCTCATGCTCACAATACTTGCTTCAAATGCAAGTTCAAGCTCAACTATAGTGTTCAAATGCCCTCACACAAATAATGATTCTATATTCACACAATGGTTTAATCATTTAAAGTTCCAGAATCAATTGCAACGCTCACTCTCACAAGGAAGAACACAATGCATGTTTTCACCCATAGGTTTGCCCGTATTTTCCAATCAACATTTGTTTCATCTCACTCAAGATCAAAAAGGTCTTTTCAAGGCTTGTAATGGGGCTGAGTGCAAAGGTATGGTCATTTAGGCTCAGTGACTTTCATCCTCATGAACTGTGGTGCTCGCAACACTTCCTTTCCTATTCAATCATTATTTTCTTTAGTGCTCATAAGTCATTCTATTATTCACTTCCCATTAATTGTTTGGAAACCCCATTTCTTTTGTACTTTATTCCACAACTTTCTTTTTCATTTTTTTTTATATATGGAGGGGTTCCATTTTTCTCAAAGCCACGTGTAAGAGGGACTTTCTTGCACTTCTTGGTTGCCTTCTCTTTTCACCACACCCCGAACTTAGGCTTTTGGCCTAAGTTGGCTATTCAACTAACCACATATTCATGAGGATTATGGGTAATGGATAAAGAAAGGTCTAGGTTTCATCCAGTTTCTTCCAAAGGAAGGTAAGGTTTAAGGGGTGTTCAAAAGAGGTTCACACACACTCACAAGGTAGACCACAAACGAGGTATATGTCAAATTGGCTCACACTTTTAGAAGTTGCCTAAGATTATATCAAGAGATAGCATCACTTAGTTGACCGGACCAATGGGGAAAATTCTAGGTTTCATCATGCACAGTTCACAGGTAAGCTCATCACACTAGGCATTGACACTATAAGTCAGACAAGACTCCACACTTTAGCTAGTGTGCAACGATCATCTCAAGAGAATCAATTTTATACAAGGCAAGTCATAACGAGATGCAAAGAGTTCACATATTGTCTATGCAACTTCATTTGGCCTCATCGTAGCCGCACATTTATGTTCGTTCGATTGAGATCACTATTCAATTCATCGATATTGATTGGAACTGAGACTTAAATTTTTGCAAATGAACAGCCACATTCATCACACGAAAGGTGGAAATTTTTTTCAGACGGGGTCAAAATCATTTTGCAATTTAAAATAAAAGGAGCCATAAGCTCAAACGTCCACGCAAAGCAGTGTAATATCTATGTAATCAAAATAGATATACGCAAAGATAGGCATCACCCCACCAGAAACAAAAAATAATTTGTCCTCAAATGTGAATAAAAGTATCCAAAAGCAAAAGTAAGTAAGACAGAGAGGGAGATAAAGAGAGGTCATGTCTACACAGTCGCCCCATCTCTCAAGGCCTCAGTACTCGATGTAGCAGTATGAGCTTGGGCATCAGTGCCCGGAGTCACCTCAGAGGGAATAGCAGTGCTAGATCCACTAGGGGCTGCTGTGGACGTCTCAGTCGGCAATGTCTAGATCACTGACTGCATAATCATCTCCATAAGATCTGACAAATCTCTAAATATGCTCTGCTCTCGGCTGTTCATCATCTCCTCCTCATGTACTGCTATAGCTCCTCGTCGATCTCAGCATCCGACTCCTCATAGGTTGTGCTACCTCTTTGTGCATCTCCTGTGGTAGCCGGAGGAATCTCCGAGGTCTCAGGAGCATCCTCGTCATCAGTACCCCGCATCAATGAGGTGAACTTGGTAAACTTCAAATAGTCTACGTCCTTCCTCAAATCTGCCACTTCGGCTTTCACAACTGAAACCTCGAATGTCTCCCCCTGTCTGCTCTCACAAGCAGCAATTCTAGCAGCTAGATCATCAATAGAGGCCCTAAGGGGGGTTAGTGCAACTAATATAACACTATTGATCATCTCTGGAATGGATCTCTCACATCGAGCCGCCCTCACATCCGCTAAATAGGCCAGCTGTCCCATCTTCAGGATTATGGCATGATAATCCTGACATACTGGGACAAAGAAGAAGAATCTGGGACCTGTGAAGAAGAGGAAGGAGCGGATGTACCTGAAGGCTCAGAGGCCAGAGTAGGAAAAGGTGCCTTTGCTGGTAACGAGTCAACATCAACTTTCGGAGAAATATCTGTCAGAGCTGCTCTCCTCCTGCCAACCTCTTCTCATGTGAACTCGGCCTCAATACACCAAATATCAGTAGAGGAAGACAGGGTAACCTTAATATCTGTTGTAGTGTCCCGAGGTACTCCAGCATGCTGGTACAACTCCTTGATCAAGACTGGGAATGGCAGAGAAGTCAGCTTCTGCTTGGCCCTCATGGCCATATCTTGTGAAATTAGCAGCCCTAGATCGATTTGCCTCTTGGACATTATAGAGCCAAGGAAAACTGCCTTAGGATGGTGCAAAATGGACTCATTCTGAGATGGCATGATGGAGCTACTGATGAAACCAAACTAGAACCTGGAAGCGATGTTCAAGTCCCTCTTTTAAATAGGTGCCCCTGCATCCATCCACCTCGGGGTGGTGTTAGAAATCAGAGGAGCCAACCAACCCTTCAGGTCATCTAGGGATTGAACAATAGGTAACCCTTCGTAGGGAAGTGCAAAGTGCAGCAGTCTACCCAATATAGTTTTAATATACTTGGCACTCAACTTCCTTGCCTCTGACCATAACCGACCTTACCGGTCTAAACTCGTTTGCCTTCTTCTTGTTCTTGGGCTCCAACTCCTCATAAGTTGTGTAAAATTCCCTAACCCAAGAAGCAATGTAAGGGCCTCAAGGCTTTGTGAACTGCTCAAACTCATGGTATCGAAGGGTGTCAATCACATCAAGATGCTTATCCTCTAGGATGGTCCGTACCCCCTCACCTTTCAGTCTGTTTAGTAGTCTAGGAGGAGGAATGATAGGGAGGGCAAGAGCCACTAGAGGTGTCTGCGCTAGCACGGAGTCTGTTGCCAGAGGAGTGGCAGCTGAGGGAATATTGGTGGATGTGGACTAAGATCTGGCCAGAAGTTCATCCTTTCGGTTTATCAGAGGCTGCTTATCTTTTGTTCTGAAAAATTAGCCTGGGTTTAAATAGGTACTCCTTTTCTAGCTATATACTTCTTCCTTTTGCCTTTATCTCTCGGTGGGAGTTCTTCTCCTCTCCTCTTTGGAGGATTTGACCCCCGCTCATTTATGGTTATGCCCTGTGCTTTTTTCTGAGGTTGCGTGGTTAGATTTTTACTTTGTACGTACCATGTCTGCAAGAGATCGGTACAAATTAGGAGAAAATTCACACATAAACAGAGAAAATCTATTGCAGAAAGGCTTGCCGATCCATTCAGTGAGTCATCGAACCTCTTTAGCGAGCTCGATCGGGCTCGCCAAAAGGATTGGCTTAAAAATGATAGCAAGTAGGTGATGGGAAGGCCCTTTCAGTGAATCACCAACTACTTTCGACGATCATAGGTTTGTCCGCCGAGAGTTACAGTACAATAGGGATTCAGGGGAGCATATAGAAGGCGATCAATAGTACTTTTGGCGAGTCACCGAGTGTTTTCGGCGACCAAAGGCTTCTCGCCAAAAGTTACATACTCAAACAACGCATACAACATGAATTTAAAAGTGAGATGGAGTCTTTAGGTGAACCGCCGAGTGGTTCGGTGAGCTCGACCCAGCTCGCCAAATGGCTCAACGTGCCCATTTTCAATCCACCTTCTCGAATTCAACCCCGCAACCCCCGATAACAAAATCAAAGCATGCACTAGTGAAATTCAAACAGGACCCGCACTACCCATCGCACTGGGATACTCAGATTTTTCCCAGTTTTACCAAATTTAACCATTTGACGATATTTGTTCTTAAGAGTGTTGTCACCCACTCCATCATTGAGCAATTTTTGTCATTTAGCACAAACATGGGTTACTCAGACTTCACCCAATCAATCTAAATTACACGCAAGTACAACTCAATACAAATTCATTCATTTAAAAGCACAAAATTTACGAGCATTTTGATGATCAAAGCAATTAGGGCAAGATTTGCAAATAGAAATAGGCCTTTACGCATCCTAATTTTTATCAGAGAGTCCCAGCACACAACAATATGATACAATCATTGCAAATGAGTATAAAATTTTCGAATGTAAACTTGGGATTTGGAAACCAACCTTAAATGTTGATTAGAATGTGATAGAAAAACTAGGCGGCAAAGAAACCCTAGTTCCGAGCACCAATCAACAACTAAAATACTAGTGGAATATAAAAATATTGAAAATACTACCTTGGTGTGAGTGTGTGAATATTTAAAGCGAAGGAAAGTGAAGGATTTCAGACTCTAAGACTTTTGGCCATTATAAACCGTCTAGTTCGCACCAATTCTGCAATATTAGTCACACTCGCCGATCCACTCGGTGACACACAGAGTGGTCAATTGCCTCACCGAGTGTTATAGGACCTTCAGTCAAAGTGAGAGTCCAAATGACAGTCTTCACCACGCCGACCATTTCGGCGATTAACTGTCTGACCATTTCACTCGCCAATATGCATTTTCCAAACACTTTTAGCATTTAAACCTGCACCACTAACACACCATTATTTACAAAGCAAAGCTAAAACATAAAAAGGGTTTTGGATTGCCTCCCAAACAACACCTTAGTTAACATCGTGGCACGACGCAAGTCAACACTCAAATTGAATCTTTGGGGTTGAACCTAGTGCAACTAGGTGATCCTAATTGTTCATTTGAATGGAGCTGAGGCAATACATCACCCAAGAGAGTTTCAATTAGTTGGATAGATCTAGAGTGAGAACCACTCATTTGATTTAGTACTTCTACATTTTCTCTAATCTCCTCTAACACTCTATCTTTCTCATTTAGCTTTTGGAGAATGGTTAATAACATATCCTTGAAATGTCTATTTTTAATGTCCATAGATCTTCCCTGCTCGGTAGGTGGTATGCATTTGCTCTTCTCTTTGGTCATCACCTCCAGTTCCTCGACCCTTTGGGTCAAGTTATCCATCTGACCTAGTAAAATGATCAATTGCTAGTCCTTCTCAATATCATTGTTGGTTTTAGCCACAAGGTCAAGGAATTTGGCTGTGGTCTCATAGGAGTATCTCTCAAGGCTACTCAGAATAAATCGATTGATTAACCCTCTATTTCCAGGATTTAGACTCCTATAGAAGCACTCCAGTAAAACTAGGTCGGGAATTTCATGAGTTGGGCATTGCATCAACAGTGCTTTAAACCTCAGCCACGACTCATGAAAAAGCTCACCTTCCATCTGTTTGAAGGTCAGGATGCTATCCCTGAACCTCATCACTTCCACCAAGAGGTGCTTTGTTGGTTCATGATCATTAACCACACTTATCTCTCTTGCTCCAGTAAAAACCACTCAACAAAACAAAACTAAAGATTAAGTTAGTAAACTACGACTATCAAAAGCAAAATTCTTCTAACCACAAAATTTTCATGTAACACCACTCATGGCAGTGGCGCCATTTTGATGTTTGTGTAATCAAGACACAACTTCTAATGCAAGTGTATACGATCGTACAATAGTAAAGTAACCCAACCAAGGGTTGGGGTCGAGTCCCAAGGGAGTAGTTTCTGAAAATTTGTGATTAAGTGCAAAAGTGCTAAGGCTAACCATAGCTAAAGACTTTATCAAATGAAGACATAAAAAATTAAAGGCTTTGACACGAGTGCCAATTATCAATGGGGGTTTTGTAAACAAGTAAAGAGCAAAATCAACAAAAATGAAGAGATATACAAATGTGGAGATGGGATTCTTGGGATGTGATAGGAATACGAGTTAGACTAGATTATTGGACACATGTTTTTGATAGTAAATTTGTTGAGTATTTGTGACTAGGCTAGACTATAGTGGGGGTAAATTCTCTCTCTCAAAACTTACCCCGAATCAAATAGGTTCCTCTCAGACACCCACTTGCCGTATGAAGAACAACCTCCGCCTTAGCCCACTCACTCTCTCGAGCTGAGTGTGTGGGAGAAGGACTAGGGTTCATTCTCTAGAGCTAAACCTCATGTCGACCCACTCCCACCGGCCATCAATTTAGTAGTCTTAGTTTTACGATCTCTCTCTTGAGTAAGCTGAAAACACAAAGGTGAAATTGCATTTACAACTACCATTTCATTAAGTTCCACCACAACTACTAAATGAAACCACATTTACTCAACAAATAAACCATAAATAAGCAAGACCCAACATATAATCTAACCCATATTCACAAAATCACACCCCAAGAATTAGGGTTTTAGCTACTCATGCAAAAGAGGTAAAAATGTATACCAATCTCGGTTTCCATCAATAGGTATGCTAGATTAAGTCTTAAGACAAGTCAAAAGTGAAGAATCCACTAGACCCAAGTCTAAAATCTTGGAGTTGAAACCCTTTGAATCTTCAAGTTCTTCAAAACCCTCTCCAAACTTAGAGCGAATAATGTCTCCCAAAATTGTTTTCTTAACTTAATGCAATTAAAAATTCACTGCTAAGAATAAAAACTGAACTAGTATTTGTAGCTTTCAGAAAATGTGTTGCGAAGGATCACTCGGTGAAGTTAGTCGGGATTGCCGATCAACTCAGTGATCCCTGTTTTGGTAGGTTTGATCACCGTCTTGCTCTATCATTCAATATCGTCATGTTTTGGATCATTAGGCGATATAGTTCTACTTCGTGAAACTGCTCGACAACACGCCGACTGCTTCTTTTCACCACCGATTTGATTCTTTCTTTTAGGGCTTAGCAACTGGAGCAAAAGGTGACGATAAGACCCTTTTAGCGATTCAATGAATGGGTTCGACGTTTCTCAGATCTTCATTTCTTCGTTCTTTCAGCTGCCTTTGTTCCTTTTTGCCATATAGTGTCCATGTTTTCCCTTAAAATCCAAATACCTGAAACTTAAGGATTTTCATCAGATATTGAGACAAAATATGCATTTGAGGACACTAATTCTATCA